AAAAGGTAACGTTTGTGCTTTTGGGTTTTATGAAAGGTAACTTCATGATCAATATTTATCTAACATTTAAGAAACAAAGGGAAGAATCAAGAGAAGTAATCGAACTAGAAACAGCCAGGATATCTGCTAACAAACATTGATTTTGTTGTTTATGGTTAAAAGAACTCTTTGTTTCACCAGCCAATAGATCTCTGGTTGGCATATAAAAAACAGCAGGTGACGTCACTGATATCTTTGCTATACCATTTCTGGCGTGACATAAGGCTGCATTAGATTTCGAATTTGGCGAAAACCGGACAACACACTTCTGCAGACAGGTTTTTACGAGGCTTGGACCTCTAAGAAGGATGAAGAGAGCAACTAACCCTCTTAAGCGAAAATTTTGGCTCCTATTCGTCGTTGTTTCGTCATTGTCCCTTATGCAAACACACATGCCAAGTTTTGTACCCGTCCACACTACGCTGGAGAAATTTGAAACCGCAGCTTTATTTCTACAGTTAGGCCAAGCATCCACACTAATCCGTCACTAAAACGGAGCTTTTCGAAAGTTCTTGAAAAAGCCGGATTTTCGTTTTCGGGTGGAAGAAAAACGGAGCTTTTCGAAAACGTGACTATAATCATATGATCTCCCTGAGTTTTCGTCAAACGCAAGACCAAAATGACCCGTAATTGTTGGTTGTTAAATTCCTCCGGCGTAGTATTTGTCTCGCAGCTCGCACGTCACGCTCAGAGTGCGTGACGCTCGCAAGCTTACTTGTTTTGCGTTCTTCCCCACGGATTTTCAAGGAAAAGAGAGACTGCTCACAGTCTATCTGTATTCAATTCCTCCGGCGTAGTGTGGACGGGGTCTGATCAGTTTTATGTTTCTTTTACTTCGCGGCACGTCTGTACATGTATGTATACGTAATGTAATCGTGGAGTTTCGTAAAGGATTATCCATTACGTCAATTTTGTAGGCACGTTTAGTTGTAGAGCGATCGTTGCTGGCTCTTCGAACGTCATATTGATGGCGAAATAAGCTTTCAAATACATGTACTGTAAAGTTTCTGAGTGGCAAAAGCAATAATGAGTTTATATGGTAATTCTTTGAAAAAATTTGAGTTTTTATACCCGCGCCGCACTTAGGCTGAAATTCCTTGACAACGTTAATCGTGCTATGCCCTGTCAATATTCGAACAACTTTTTTGTAGGTAGATCAGAAACTGAAGCGCTTGTGCAAATGCAACAAATATTGTAAACAAAGATTCAGAAGATTCTCCTTTTCAGTGGCACGGGTCCCCCTCGCACGGGTCCACCCGTTACAGTAAGCGGGCACCTCTATTACGCGGTCAGCAAAGTTCTGGAATTGTTCTCAGTAAAATAGTATAAAGAAAATCCCTATTAACCGGCCACCAGTGATAAGAATATTCAAACACCCGTTTATTATTTTCTTCATGTGATTCCACGTCTGCATTTAAATAAACTGACGTTTCTTCTAAGCTGACGAAACCCTATCAAGGGCCAAACCCCATTAAGACTATTTTAAGGGCCACCTCCTTGGCCGCTTAAATAGGGGTTCGACTCAGTGTATATACCAAATAGAAACGTGCTGAGTACCACAAGGTATTAAACTGTACCGCAAATTTCAATCTTACGAAAAAAAAAAGAAAGTGAACAGCGTTTTGCATGCTTGCTTGTTTAAACGCTAAAAGTAAATTTATTCCTCCTCGCAGCCCGAAGGCAATTTACAAATAGAAGCTACACGGAATACGTTTACCAGCATACCACTCAACTTCTTTGAATTACCTACAAATCATAGACATCAAACGGATTAACCATTGTCATAATAATATGTAAAAAAAACTCATCTAACAACTGAATTGAGTATTACATACTTAATTACATAAGGGTTTGGTATTACAGTGCTTTACCTCGTGACCTCTTGATTCTAGCTCTTTTCCCAGCCTTTCGAGAACCATGTAGTGACTCCTTCCTTTCATCGAGATCATCGCAAATTTTGCCGCAAAGCAACTCCACTGAATTGCGAATATCACTACCAAGCCACATGCAAACGACTGAGATAACGCCATGGCTTTGCTGAGTTGAATAGATAACCTGTTTCAAAAATACTGTACCGGAGAATGTCCGATAGAATGCGGGGATAGAAGAGCCAAAAGCACCCCTTCACTGCCGGTCTTCGAACCTTAGTTCACCTTAAGCACCGTCCTGCTTTGATGTTCAGTTGAATTTTGATTATTCACGATTCAGTAACCGCGAAGATCAATCATTCTTTGCATCTATACAAATTTACATTCTTGACCTTTCGATTGTTGATATTGTTTACTGCCCACTGACACATGACATTGAATGACCTTGTAGTTCGAATCGGGTGATGTGTGCTTGCGAGCGTTTATAAAATGTCACACATTAATCAAATCGCTTGTAACGCAAACGTAACTGCTAGATAGATAGATAATCTTTATTTAAACAAGGTTAAAAATTCGTCAGCTAAAACTACTAATAACTTATAGTAAGAAATAATTAAATAAAAAAAGCTGTTTTCCACGAATGCCGTGCCTTGAACATCTCTTTTGACTTGGCGTTTAAATTCTGCTTCCCTTAAGTCACAAGGAAGGCTGTTCCAAAGGACGGCGCCACTATAGCTAAAGCTATTTTTATAATAGTTTGTACGCAGCAATGGATCATTTATTTTATTCTCAGAGTCCTTTAAATTATATGCGGTTTCTCGCCTCTCGAATTAGATATTCTGGAGCCAAACCGTGCAGAGACTTATAAATCATCATCCCTAGCAGGCTAACTATTTTACCTCCTATGCCTGTGACAATTCTAGCAGCAGGTTATGTGATGCCATTCCTGCATTCCTAATGTACGGATGTTTGCAATTTCTTTTTTGTAGGCATGCGCAATTTTGGGGAGTTACACCAGTGTAACGCCAAACACAATAGAGAACGTCACGAAGTAAAGCGTGACTCTATTGTGATCAAGCAAGTTAATTGTTAACCGACCAGTTAAATATTTTCAGGTTTCAGAATTGCCATTAAGGCTAGTTGTGGGGACTGCTAGGATTTCTACATTGGAAAAACAAAACATGCATTGCATGACAGAAAAACTGAACATTTTAAAGCGTTCACGAGTAGCTGTCATGCACAGCTATCGCAGAACACGTCACGTCAACTGGTCACAACTTAAAATGGGACCACTTTGAGATAATAGTAAAAGGTCTGTCAGATACACGTTGCAAGATAAAGGAGACTCTACTAATTGGGGAATTGAAACCTACCCTAAACGCTAATGTTAGCAGCGAAGAGCTTTATCTTTATTAATTTGCACTTTTAATGTGGAAATTTTTCTTAGCTCCTGTCATTGTTATTGTTAATTAGTTACTTATCTTAAATTTAAAATTTGGTTGTTACTTCTATTCCAAACGGTCACTTCTGAAGTTGTATGTCGAAACATACGAAACGTCAAGTTAAATGAATTTTGTTTTCCAACTTGCGTTTTATGGTCATGTTTGTCACCGCAGTTTGTTTGGTATTCCTTATTCGCTACCCCTTAAAGTGCCACTATGATGAAATTCTCGATATCCATTTCTTTACATTTTCGTACACATTAGGTCTTTCCTAGATATCTTGCCAAATTTCAATTTTCT